CTTGAACATTTTTATACAATACTGGTTTGGTGGTGATGAACTCCTTTAGCTTTTTCTTGTCTGGGAGGCTCTTTATCTGCCCTTTGATTCTAATGATAGCTTTTCTGGGTACAGTTATCTTGGTTGTAGGTCCTTACTTTTCATCAATTCAAGTATTTCTTACCTGCAAAACTTCTTTTGAGAAATCAGCTGGCAGTCTTATGGGAACCCCCTTGTAGGTAACTAACTGCTTTTCGCTTGCTGATTTTAAGATTCTCTCTTTGTCTTTAACCTTTGTTGTTTTAATTGTTGTGTCTTGATGTGGGCCTCTTTGGATTCATCTTGTCTGGGACTCTGATTTCCTGGACCATACATCTATTTCCTTCACCAAGTAAAAGAAGTTTTCTGACATTATTTTTTCAAATAGGTTTCCAACTTCTTGTTCTTTCTCTTCTCCTTCTGGCACCCCCATGATGTGAATATTGTTACACTTAAAGTTGTCCCAGAGGCTCCTTACACTATCCTCATTTTTTTATTATTTTCTTCTTGATGTTTTGACTAGTTGTTTTCTGTTTCCCTATAGTCTATATCACTGACTTGATTTTTGGCTTCATCCACTCTACTGTTGATTCCCTGTAGATTGTTCTTTATTTCAATTAATGTATCCTTCATTTATGACTGGATTTTTTAATACTTTTAAGGTCCTCACTAATTTCCTTGAGCATACTTATAACCAGTATTTTAAATTCTGCATCTAAAAGATTACCGGTCTCCATTTGATTTAGTTCTTTTTCTGGAGTTTTGATCTATTATTTCATTTGGGCCATGTTTCTTTATCTCCTCATTTTGGCAACCTCCTTGTGTTAGTTTCTATGTATTAGGTACAGCTGCTATGTCCTCCAAGCTTGGTAGAGTGGCCTAATTTAGTAGGAGTCCTGTAGAGTCGGTGGCACAGCCTCCCCTATTATCCAAGCTGGATACAGAGAACATTTTGTTCATTGCCAGATGGGTGGGGAGTTGCGGTAATGGACAAAAAAGGTGAAAGGATCAAGCTGGTGTACACAGCTCATAAGGTGTATCCACCATATGAGCTGTGTACACCTCCTTGTTGTAGTTGAGCCTTGATTGCTGTTGGCACATTCAAGATCAGCCACCAACTGAGTTTTGTCTGTGGTCACACAACATAAGCTACAAAATGATCTGCAAAGGGGGTGAGTCCAAGTAAGTCTGTATGCAGGCCATTTAAGAGGGACTGCCTAAGACTTCAGCAGTTTCTGTCTTCCACAGCCTCAATCCCTCTGGTTTTTACAGCCAGAAGTTATGGGGACTTATCTTCCTGGTGCTGGAACCCTGGGCTGTGGATCCTAGTGTGGGACTGGGAACCCTCCTTCCTGTGATATTTCTCTTGATTTTTATCTGCCACACCTGGGTGTGAAACCCGCCCATTCCATGATTCTGCCCCTCCAAAGAGTCCCAATGTGGTTTCTCCTTTAATTCTGTATTTGTAGGACTTCCATTTGACTTGGTTTCTGACAGTTCTGATTGATGATTGTTTTTTGGTTTAGTTGTCATTTTGATGTGGTCATGCAAGGAGGCAAGCCATGTTTATATATGCTGCCATCTTGGCAATTCCTTTGAAAAAAACTAAAACTATTTAACCATAAAATCCAGCTATTACATTCTTGAGCATTTCTCCATTATAAATGAAGACTTATTTCTGCACATTTGTTGTTTATAGAACCCTTATTTGTAATATCAAAAGAACAGAAAAAAACAAAATGTCCCTCAAAAAGTAAATGGTTAAACAAACTGAGGTACACCATACTGTTGAATACTTCATAGCAACAAAAAGGAACAAACTATTGACACATATAACTTTAACAGATCTCTCAAGGACATTATGCTAAGTTTAAAAAGCTAATCTGAAAAGGTCACATACTGTATGATTCCCTTTACAACATTTTCATAAAGATAAATCTATGGAGATGGGAAATAGATTGGTGGCTAAAAGGGGTTAGAAATCATGAGGAGAAAGGAGTTTAATTTAACTGGGTAGCAGGAGACATCTTTGTCATAGTGGAAGAGTTCTGTGTGTATGTAGTGGTGGTTATGGATATCTACACATGAAATTAAAATGGCATACAATTATACACTCACATTGTACCCATGTCCATATCCTAGTTGTGATATTATAACAAAATTATATAAAATGCAACCACTCAGGGAAACTGGGTGCAAATTATTTGGGACCTCTCTATACTCTCTTTTGCAACCTGCTGTGAATTTATAATTATTTAAAAATAAGATTTAAAAAATAATAACACCAACAGTAATCAGCCAGTTCATACAACCTGATCTAAAAATGAATAGCATTGTTCAAACATACCTGTAAATTTTATACTCTCTTTATCAAATAAAAAGAGTTTCTAAATGTGCACATGAGAAGTGTAGAGCTTGCTGAATCTTCACAAAGCATAACCCTGTAAGCAGCACCCAGATCAAAAAAACGAATGTTGTCTGTTGCCATATCCTGTGGATATTCCATTCCCACAAGGAATACCACTGTTCTTATTTCTAACAGCATAGACAAGTGTTTGCTATTTTTTATTTTTTATAAATGAATAAGTTTATTCTTAATGAGGATTCCAGTTCATACCCATTATATTTGCACAAAACTGTTAATATCCATCCCATTATAAACCCTTTTCTTAAAAAGAGAAAAGATGCCTACATTAGGATTAAGTATTGAGTCAATTACAGTTAAAGATGGAGAAGTTATTTGCACTCCCAAATGCACAAATGCATCCTGTACACTTCATACATGGGCAGTGTGAGGGAATGTACGTGGGGGATCACACCATTGTAGAAGGAGGAGCAGGAAATTTTATGAAGTTGGATTCTAAAAGTGACTTTCAAATCATTGAAATGCTGTTTTTCAACATAATTATATGTGAAGTATGGTTATTTGTGCCTTCACTTTTTTAGTTCAGTGATGGAAAGTAAATCAAAAAAGCTACTTTGATTGCCCTAAACAAGATCCAATTTCAAGCTCATCTTGGTAATGTGTATATTCTAGACACAGACATAATTCCTTTTAGAGAAATGACTACTAATGAAAGTTCTCTAACTTGATAGGAGGGAATGTTCAGTGTATCTTTCAAAGGGACATGAAGGCTAATGGTGTGGTCCCTTGTCTGACTCAGTAACTGGAGTTGTAAACAGCCTTGGTTAGGTCTCCCCTGCCAGCCTTCACTGGGTCCAGGTATAAGTCATTTTGAGATAAAAGACCCTCCAAGGTCCCAAAAACTGCTGCCATTCAGCAGAAAAGATTCTTTCCCTGGAGCTAATATTAAATAAGGTGGGATTTTTATGACCATAAAACATTTCCAAGTCCATTTAAGGTTTTCACAAAGAATAATGTATTTCATTGACATGTGCAAATAGATACTAGTGAAACAGAACAGAGGTTTTAATGGCTTTTTCTGTCATATCCTGTAATGGGAGGAACATTTTACACCCATCATAATTCTCTTCCATATTTTGGCTGCATTTGTTTTACAGGAATAAAGAATAACAGGAAATTGTAACTCAAGGTGTGCATACAAATGGTATAGTGTGTGCATCAGGGAGATAAGCTTCCAATTGAAGCTTAGTCATGAAATCAAAACATCTTTGATGATTCACTTCCTCTCCCTGACCCCCACAGCACTCATGTTATAAATAGACATATTCATATAAAATACTACTAAAAAGGAATACTCCAGTATCAAATTTATGTTTTGATTTTAATTTTTAGGTTATTACTTGTGTGTGATATACTCGTTTAAAATAATTAATACTTTCCTTTTGTAACTAATAGTCTCTTTTAAAGTATTTAACAGCTTAGTAGATTTCATTAATTTTTCTGATGTAATTTTGCACACCCTCTCCTGCCACCATATGAAAACTCACTGTGGTTCATTTGCTTTGGGGTGACATTCTATGCAGTTGACAAGCCTAGATTACTCTTTGCTTTTTCTTTACTTTTCCTTCTCGGTATTTTGAAATAAATTGAATGAAAATAAGCAAAAAGAAATACTGTAGCAATAGATTAATTGATACAAAACTTTTCTCATTACCAAGTAGATAACCAAGAGTACATTAGGAGCAACCTTTTTTAGCACAAAGAAAAATGGTCCTGTAGAATACATTTTTTCATTGCTTATCAAAGAAAAAATCTATTTTCAAACAAAAAGAAAGAAAAATCAATGTGAGTTCATCTTTTACTGCTGCACTTTAATTGGAACAGTGGCAAAGACAAGTCGGATGTTTAGGACCATTGACTTCATTTGGATCTATTATTGTGTACAATATTAGTCATCTCCTAAATTCCCATAAAACTTATGGTTAATAAGAGGACTATTTGTAGATTCAAAAGGTTTTCTAATTCAGAAAACAGTAATAGTTATTACTACCACTATTATTTATGACCATTATGTGTTTAATTATTGCTTTGTAAAAAAAAAAATTCCCACACCTTCTCCAGGTTCCTCCCTCTAATGAGTTATTAGGAAAATTGGGGGTTCCCATAAGGACTAAGCAACCTGATTAAAATGACACATAAAATCAAGACACTTTCAATATATATTTTCAATTAAGTGCAAGAAGAGGAATTCCACATGAATTATCAGTTTGAATCAAAAAACATGTTGATGGTATAGTTTTATTTCTGTTCAGCAGATTTGGAGACTATATATTTGCCCAGTATTTTCAGTCCAGTTAAATATAGTTGGTTTCATTTCAGATTCAATTAATGTGATGTACAACATGTTTGGCGGATGTTTTGGTTTCATTAAGTATCTTTTAAAAATATAGGTTCAAATGATCTTTCCAAAGGTTTCCATTTTTATAAGAATCTGAAAAAATATTTTATGTTAATCTAGTCATCACTGAAAAGTGTGTGTGTGTGAGAGAAAGAGAGAGAGGGAGAGATCAAGAGAGGGAGAATGAGAGAGAATATATGTGTATAAAAACTTTATAAAGTGCTCGCTTCGGCAGCACATATACTAAAATTGGAACGAGACAGAGAAGATTAGCATGGCCCCTGTGCAAGGATAATACGCAAATTCATTAAGCATTCCATATTTTAAAATGTACTTGAACAATGATTAAAATAAAATTAAAAAAAAACTTTATAAAGAGGAAGCAACTTAAATGCCCATTAGTAAATGAATGGACCAAAAACCTATGGTACATTTATACAATGCAATACTATCCATCAGAAAGAAGGAGCTTCTACCCTTTGTACAGCATGGATAAATCTGGAGAGCATCATATAAACTGAAATAAGCCAAGTGGTGAAAGAGAAATACTGTATGATCTCACCTATAAGTGGAACCTAATCAACAAAACAAACATGGAAGCAAAATACAGCCAGAGACATTGAAATAAAAAACAATCTGACAGTAAACAGAGAGGAGGAGTGAGAGGGAAATAAGGGTTAATGGGAGGGGCCATCAAGGAACATGTATGAAGGACACATGGACAAAGCCAAAGGGGGTGGGTTTGAGGGTGGGAGGTGGGGATGGGTGGGTTAGGGGGGCATGGCGTGGGGTGGGGGAATGGAGACAAATGTACTTGAACAAGAATAAAAAGAAAAAACTTTATAAGGAAAAACTAGCATATTTTTAGATAATGTAACGTTTCACCTTCAAGGTTTCATCTCAAAGTGGCTTATTTACAATTCTTCAGAACAATTTCTCTTCCTTATGCAGAGCTGTGAGAACAAAAGAACCACAATAAAAATAGCTGGATCCAATGGTGGCTCTTGTATAGAAAGAAGAAAGCCTTGACCTTCTCACAAAGCCCTGAAAGTCTACTGGGCTTTATAAAAACTAACGCATTTTGAGGTTCCTCAGAAGCATTGTTTGGCAACTTTTCAACTTTCCTTTCCTCTTGCCCTGCATTTCACTCTTCATTATTGGATGGTCCCATTTAGTACCATGAAAGGAAATTGAGATATTGAGATTTTTGAAACATAGCTTAGGTTAAAATACCTCATCTACTTTTATTTATTTATTTTATACTTTTTAAAATTAAAAAAATGTTTAAGACATTTGCAACCTCAGACAACTAGTATGTGGCCACTCACATCACCAGATTCCTGCCGCTCCTGCTGCCAGGGTTTGCTTCCATCACAATGCACTGTGGGCTGATCTCCTCTTACCCAGGTCGGCAGTCTCTGGCAGAACCCTCAGGAAAAGCCTGGTACTACAGGCAACTCATCATCTGATTCTTCCCCCAATCCTTTAAGAGGCAATATAGTGTTTCTGACCCTCCTGATGGGGCCACATACACCTGAGTCAAAGGCACAGGCAGAGAGGCCTGCTGGATGGACATTTCATTCCTGAAACATAACACTCACAGCCATTCAGTCTTCAGTATCTGCTGTTCTGTGTTTTGTTAAAAGCAAGCTTGAAGAATTAAGAATGTTCTATGCTCAGGGGGCATACCCCTCCTTTTAGGAGGAGGAAGAGGAGACCCCCATGTGGGGACTGTGAAGCAAGAGTGTTGACAAGAAGTCATGCGGAGCAGCCCTTAGGGTGTCTGACCCTGTTCCCAAGCAACCATGGTCTGAGGGAAAAAGGCTTTGTGAAGAAGCCCACACCATGACCCATGACCCAAAGGCCAGCAGACTCTTTCCCAAAATTCTTCCAGGAATTGGTCTGAGTAAGACTCTGGGAATGACTCCAGGAAATCAGAAACCCCAAAATATCATTCTGATGCTGCCTGCTGCCACTCCCTCCTCTGTGAGACACTAGTGACAAGGATGATGAACCTGACAAGTTAGTGGGAGAAGCTGGAAGGATGTTGATAAACACCAGGTGCTACCCAAATGTAGTAGAAGAGCATGTGTCTGACCATGGTCCTGTCAGTCATGTAAAGCCAACTCCTAGTTATTTCCCTTCCATGAGACAAAGGAAGAAACAGTGGGTGAGTCCCCTAGAAATAAACCCCACTGTCAGCTTCAGCAGTTCATCCTAGTCCTGCCTGCCGTGGAACTGTGGGCTTCACTGACCTGCCAATACTTACTCATATTGCCTCTGTGAGGAAAGCAGGTGACAGCAGCTTTTGAAGGAAGGAAATCTGAGAGGGGGGAAGAGACAAGCCCAAGGTCAGAGAGCAAAAGCAGAATAGGGAACTGAGCCATCTTCTTCAGGTCTCAGAACCTGGTGTCCAGATTAGCCTTCAATCCAAGAAGCTTTATAATTTCTTTTCACTTGAATCTTTGTATTTAAGCATTTCACCTTCTCTACCAGCAAGGATATTAAATGTAGAAGGAAAATAATGTAATTTTGTAAAGGTAAGAGGAAAGGCTAGCATTATTCAGAGTCATGCAAATGTAAGATATCATAACCACCGTATCATCATCATCATCACTAGACCCTCAGGGTACTAAAGGATGCAAAGTTAAAAGCATCCACCAAAGCCTCTTAGAAATAACATATGAGGATATCTGGGACATCTACTCAACTCCAGCAGAGGCCTGGATGCCTGAGGTGCTAAATGAAGGGCAATTCTGTTTAGCATCAGAAGGGGCAGAGGCCAGGGTCTGATTCCTATCACCCTCTTCCATGTAGTAAACACCTGCCAAGAGCAAGGGAAAGTCTCTGAGGAAAGTGAAGGAGAGGGAAAAGGGAGGATGCTATTGCCATTGCAGAGGCTTGATGCCCAGGTTCAACACCTGATCTTGACTACAACCACACAGGCAAGGGAACCTGAATAGACAGAAAGCAACTCATACCTGTTACTGTATAGGATCCTTATGCCATCACTGCCTTGTCCTACAGGGAGACAATGTGGCATCTTCATGGAAACTCAGAGAAACAGTTTCAGAATAACCCCGCCTTTGCTTCTGGTATGTACAATTCTTCCCCTAGCAGAGACCCCGCCTTCCTGTCTTTTCCCTGGATGGAGGAGTAAGAACTGGGTTCAACTTGTTACCCAATGGCAAGTGGGCATTTTTCAGTTTATGCTATATCAGTTAGTCACCACTTCCAAGAACAATGACTACAACCTAACAAAATGATATAAGGTAGAAAATGAGCAAGGGAAAAAAAATCCCTGTGTCATAACACAGACCACTGTCCAAAGCCAGCATGGCTTGGATTAAGCTATAGCCTTCACCCACTAGAGACCCTTTTAATGGTTGTTTGATATGTTAGTGGCTCAGAGACTTGGGCTATGGAGAGTCTCAGGAAAGGGCATAGAACAGACCACCTCTGCACCCCCACAAAGAATGAAGAAGAGTCACTTGGTTGGCTAGAACTGCTGACAGGATTCACTTTTCATCCTTCCAAGCTGAGGAGTAGGGAATGGGGGCAAAAAATAATTTCTTCCATGTTGACTTCGCTGAACAAAGAGGGGAAGAGAGATGAGATGTAATAACAAAACTCTGGGCCAAGACAAGGTGAAACCCTTGATCGAAAGTGCCAGCAAGTTCATAAAACAAGGAATGATTTGAAAAGCAATCACCCCTTTTTCCATCTCCAAGGCAGAATGTCTATCATAGTTGCAGAGAGAGAGCAGTGACAATACTTGTCAGTTAGACTTGCTTCACCATTCTGGCATTTAGGTAGAAAGAGCAAGGAAACTGCAAGTTGGCATTCAATATGTCCAGAGGAATATTCCATCATAAAAAACAGTGGTCCAGAGCCCATAATTATGGGCTATTTGTGCACAGAGACAAGAGGCCTTGGTCAGTCTCCAGTGTGTGGAACTTAAAGGTTACTGTACCTCAGTGGATCACGAAGTACCTAACAAACATCATTGCCTCACTATATCATTTATGTAAGGTACTACTAATGGCTCCATTTTACTTCAAGGGCATTACTGAACTACAGGATGGCCTGGCTGAGAAGGAATGCCCACTCCCAGTTCTAATTCCCAGTGTCCAGAACCTTCCACCTGAACTCCATATGCTATTCTGGTGCAATGCAGAGATATCTACCAAACAAATATCAATACATAATCCAAAGTCCACTATTTTCAAGGACTAGAGGACAGTTCAAAGGAAGGAAATATCACATAAAGATCAGACAACAAAAGGAAAACACAAAGGAACTTTGCCTCTGGCATCCTAAGAAACTTAATCATGGGAAGAGTCCACATTCATATCAGAACCTGGTCTGATGCTATCTGGACCCCAGGTAAAAGATGGATACCATCGACAGGTGCTGTTTTCTCCCTTTCTTTGAGTTTTTCCAAAAGAAACAAGGACAGACAGACTCTTTACTGCAACTTCACTGTTTTTCCTAACACCCTCTCTTCCCTCCAGTTCTCACTGAGGCAGCTCCCCATACCACTGGTAGGCTTGAATAAATGAAGCTCCTGGTAGTACCAGTTCCACAATGGGCACAAATATTTTGCTAAGAATGCGAGAGGCATACCTGAGTCAACGCAAACCACGAGACTATCAGTAAACAGCCAAACACTCTAACCAATTGCTCTATAGATACTTGCAGCTCTTCTCTTTAAACTGTATGTACAAGTTTATCTTATTTTTTGTAGGATTTTGCAAACATTTGTGCTTTCTATTTGGCTGTGTGACATTGGATTTGAGGTCTTTTTACTAGAGTTTATACTAGGACAATAACAATATGTGAAATTAAAGTCAAGATTTTTTTAAAGATTTTTACTTTATTATTTTTTTTTTAGAGAGGGAAGGGAGGGAGATAGAGAGAGAGAGAAACATCAATGTGCAGTTGTTGGGGGCTGTGGCCTGCAACCCAGGCATCTGCCCTGGCTGGGAATCGAACGTGCGACACTTTGGTTCACAGTCCACGCTCAATCCACTGAGCTATGCCAGCCAGGGCTGAAGTCAAGATTTTATGCTTCAGCCTTTTAGTATTATTGTAAGAGTTTTCTTAATATTTAAAAGCATTTTATAATCTATACTTGCTTTTTAAGCATGAATATTTCTCTACTATGTTTATCAACAAACTATATGTCAAAATTACTTTTATTACATTTTTTCTGTAGAATTAAAATGATCAAACTCAAGGCATATGCTGTTTTTGATGAAGCAATTGGGAAGTAGAATATTGACTATGCCTCATTTAATATAGTTTATTAACTACTTAATAAGGT